CGCATTTCCGGCCGCCCGAAAAAAAACCGAAAAACGGGTCAAAGACGCAGTCCCAGCAACAGCAATAGCAATGGAAAAAAGCCAGCAATAACAACCACACAATAACAACAAACAACGCGAAAAGTTAAGTGTCGCAAACTGAAAACGCAAGCAGAGCAAGGCAAACGAAGGCAAGGCAAGGCAAGGCAAAGCAAAGCAAAGAAAAGGTAACAAATGAGACTCACTCAGTGTGAAAAAGAGAAGGGAAGAGAGTTTTCCTTTTCCCTTAAAAATCAATAAATGTAATGACCGCCGCCCTCTACCTCTACCCTTCCCCAGAGGGAAAAAACGTTAATTTACACGAACGAGCGACAATAACAAAAACAAGCGTGGCGAAAAAGCAGCAACACAGACGGCAAAAAAGGAAAACAGAATTAAACAAACAAACAAATAAGCGACAAAAACCAAACTGAAAACGAAATGAAAAATGAAAATCAATAATAAACACACAAACACACACACACACACATATACACTGACATCGTCTGCAGGAGGAGGAGGAGGAGGAGGAGGAGGAGGTTGTGGGGCAGAGCGGACAATGATTGTACATAATTGCAATTGTTCAACGATTGGCCTGCGTGTGGGCGTTTCCCAGTGCGGCTTGTTGCATGCCACAGCACGGTAACTCCGCTTGCATATACACAAATTAGTCTGCCATCTCTCTTTCTCTCTCTCTTTCTTTTAGCATAGCTCTATCTCTTTCTGTTTGTGCCAACGTATGCGTAGATGCGATTATGCTGATTCTGTATGACAGCTGCCCTGGGCATCCTTTTGCGTCACTGGCTCTCAATTTTCCACACACGCAAAACAGGCTTATCTCAATTTCCACCACAGCATTATTAATCCATTACTTTTTTTTTCAGCGGGGCAGTTCGGGTAGGGAAATTCGAGTTGAATTTTTCACCGCAATCCGGGGCTTTTGTCGTGTTTATAGTTCAGATTGTTCACCTGTTTTTTTTGCCTTAATTGAAAAAAGAAAAGAGCAACTCTTTTAGCCAACTTCAATCCAATCTGGCCAATTTATGTTCCATTAGCTTCGATTCGAGTTCAAGCTGAGCTGTGGTGGTTTTTTTCTCTTCCTCAACCAAAACCAAGCCAAGCTGATTCATCGTTCATTTCGGTTATCATTTATCCATCGAAGGAGGTTGCCGCCGCCGCCGCCGCAGCCCAACAGCTCTGACCTGGGCAAACAACTCAGGCAGCCAAGGCATTGATGGATATCGGCCAGGCACGTGTTTTCTTTTGTGGGCCACGAGGCGTATGCGTAATCAATTGTCAACAGGCAGGGAAAACACTCACAAGAATGGATGCACAGAAAGAAAACTTGTAAGCATGTTTATAAAAATATAAAAATCTTCATTAAAATTGCATAGAAATATCTTTAAATATTCTCCGATTTCTTTTTAGATTTTTCCTTAACGTGTAAATGGCAAATCAAGCCTAACTTTGGCTAACCTTTTACTAATATCTCCTGGGCACTTTTTGCTGCTAGTGCTGCTGTTCTTCCTTTTTTCTCCATCTGCTGTTGTTGTTGCTAATGTTGTTTGGCCTGCTGACGAAGATCAAACAGGCCGCGCCAAGTGTCGAGCTGCGACCTCCTAAGGGGCAAAGGCCATGCCAGAACTCGAGGATGGGCCACAAATTCAGGGGCAGTTGCCGACGAAATGAGAGAGCAATGTGCACTCCGAGATAAACGTGCGAGGCAAACCGCAAAAGTGACAAACCCAAAAAAAAAGGCAAGCAGAGAGAGAGAGAGGGAGAGAAAAAAGAAAAACAAAACGGGCGACAACAAAAAAAAAAGAAAACAAAGATGGAAAAGAAAAACAAGGGCAAAGTTGTTTGTCTCTTTTTGCACACCTCCGTCCACTTTTCCAGGCCGCAGATAAACCACTGAAAAATGCTTGCCATCGGACTAGTCGGGATTTTTGTGGATTTTGGTTTCCCCTTACCCTACTCTCCTTGCACGAATGTGTGAGAGGTTTTCCTGGGCTGGGCTTTGCGTTCAATTTTAATGAGTTTGTTGCCAAACAAGGACAAACACACGAATTTTTGCCTATTTGCAACTTGTGGACAAATCGAACTGCCTGCCCAAAGAGGTTTTTTGGAAGGAAAAGGAAAAAGCGGTGAGGGGCGAGTAACGGGGCAAGGGTAACCAGCCGGAAGCGTGAGGCATAAAGTCAACTAATTAAAAAATCTGCCTAAGCCAGTTGATCTTTTTTGTTTTTTTGGGTGGGGAAGGGCGGTGAGGCAGTGTCTTTGGTCAGTTTATCGCCAACGTGGCTAAAAAACGTGGCAGCCCAAACAAACACCACGAAATGGTGGGCCATTTTTCCCATCCTCAACATTTATCCTTCTTTAAATTTTCCAACCCATTTACTACGCTTGATGGATTTCTGGATGGAAAGGGGAAACTGTGGCTGTCTAAGCTGGGAGAGGGAAACTTTCTGGTATTAACAAAAATATTAGAAGCTTTTGAAAACAATCTTGGCTTTTGGTAAGTTATTTGGAAACTGTTGGGAAATTGGATGAAAAACTATAACTAACTGTTGAATTTAATTACCCCGAAAAGGCTAAGGCAATAACCCTTTTAGCCATATATTCAATACCCAAATTGATGGCAAACAAAATCAGGACAGAGTCAAGGACCGCGAAAGAAGGTTAAGTGCGGTAGACAGACGTGTATCGTGCAGACATTCAAATAAAGCCACGCATTTTCCAGGGCTAACATTACGCTTTTCCGCTACCTTTTTCCCCTTTCCTTTCCCATTTCCATTCCCAATGACTTTAACTTCAATCTGCGTTCGTTTCTTTTTTCCTTTCCTTTTTATAGATGTGTGTTTGGCATGAAAATCACATTAGAATCTATTGCTTTACCTGACGACCCATTTCCCTCAGCCATTTGCATTCCCCGTCCTTGCCTTGTGCATATCCTTTATGGCATTTCCAGTATCTGTATATATGTATATATGTATCTGTATATGTATCTGTATTCACATTTGTATCTGTATCTGTCCAGGTTCCAGGTTAGAATTCTCTTTCCTTCTTCCCTCAGCGAACTAAAAGCCGTTTTACTTTTCTGCTCACTTGTGCTGCCAACAAAAACGTGAAATCCTTTTGGAAAAGGCTTTGCGTCTTCACTGTAATCCGCTTTCGACAGTTTACTGGTTGGGGGAAGGGCAAAATGTGCTCGGGAAAATTGTATATGGAAAACTATGCGAAGGAAAGACCATAGCGAACTGTCAAGTCTCTCAAGTTTGGGCCTATCTAAACCTATTGATGGCTCCTGTACCACGCGGGGATTGCAATTGGAGCTGAAGTGGGTGGCAACCGTTGGCCAATTGAAATTGATAGAAGCCTCAATAATATTAGAGATTATTTTGGCCCTAATTGGGTCGATAGTGGAGCTTAAAATGTGTGTGTGTGTGTGTGAGCTTAATAAGGATGGAAAATCTTCTCGAATTTAACTACACATTTTCTGAAAACTCTTCGAGTTTCGCTTACAAATCGATGGAATATTTTCATATTTATTCGATCTTTATGGGAGAGATTGCCCTGCCATTTTCCCTTTCCATCCAGGATGGTGCAGCATGTTGCAGGGCACTTTGCCGGACATCTTTTGGCGATGATTAACCACAGTTGTCCGGAATACTTTTCGGCCATTTGCATTGCCAGTTGGCCAGTTGGAATGCCGGCAGTGGCTGTGTGCGTCATTCAGTCCGTCACACGCACGACACACAGAGTCAGAGTACATCTATTGTGCGTCCATTTATGTCACTCCTCTCTGATACCCAGCTTCCCCAGAATCCCCTGATCCTTCTGATCCTCCTTCTGATCTCCCCTCCCGGAATCCATTCCCTAATGAGCTGAGAAGGATGCAGTTTGGGGGGCGGCGAGAGGGACTTTTGTTAATTATCTCATGTTGTTTATGGCTGCATGTGTTGGCCCCGTTGATGGCTTGCAGTTGCTGCTGCTGCTGCTGCTGTCGTAGTTGCCATTGCAACTTTGTTGTTGTTACATGGAAAATGGAAAATTGGCAAATGGCAACTCAAGTTGCTGCGACAAGCAGGGTTTTGGTTAGGGGATTTATGTTGCTAAACCTGCTGTTGGTAGCTATACCCATTTGACTGAGAGGCTAACTCCGTAGTTGACCAATCTGAAATCCGATTTAAACTGGAGTTCCCTGTGGCTGGCTTTTCTACCGCCCCCCTTATGCCCACCCAGCCAAGCCTCAATTGGCTGCTGCCGCCCTAATTGAAAGTGTTGCCATTGACCGCAGGCCAAAAAGGGATTTCAATGCCGGGGCTCTCTCGAATAGTCAAGCACCTTCCGGACTTTCTGCCTGACACTTACCCCTCGCACTCTCCATTTTCCATTTGCCACTTGCCGCTTGCCGCTTGCCACGCCACTTGCCACTTGCCGCAGTGAAACAATTCAATTTCACTGAATCGGACATTTCTCGGTCACATGTGCGTGTGTGCCTGCCAGTACGAGTGCCAGTACGAGTGCTCTATTTATAGCTCATTTCCCTTACTCCATTTCACTTTTCACTTACACACACACACACACACACACTTTCGCACACACCCAGCATCCTGTTCACGTTGACAACTTAACGGAAAATTCATTTCACACTCTCGCCCTTTAGCTGCGACCCAAAGGGTTGCCCCACTGCCAACCGATAATTGTGTGGCATGCGTAAAATGCCGATTGCAAACGTAGAATCGAATATGCGTTGCAATGAACTGTGGCGCCTTCGGTTAAAGGTCCTTAGGAGTGCTCTGAACTGAAGCTATCTTGATTTTCTTCAAGCAGTTCAAGTTGATTATGACCTTTGGGTATTTTGATAATGAATCCTAATGAACTTTAAAGAAGGAAAAGTTACGCTTTACCCTTACCATAAACCTTAACTTCTTTCAAGATTCTCACAGAATTCCTAAGATAAAGATTTTTGAAATACTCACGCTGCGAGTTGGAGCGCCGGATGATGTTCTCGAGGAATGTGTTCTGCGGCGCAACCAGTCCACGTCTTCCGCCAGGCATTTTGCTGCCTACACGCTACGCGCCGCCCTTCCCAATCCTCGCCTGCTGCTCCTGCTCCTGCTCCGGCTGTTCCTGTGCTCCTATGCTCCCGCTCTTGCTGCTGCTGCTGCTGCTGCTGCTGGTCGCGGTGTCCTTGCACACCCAGTTTCACGTTCACTTCCGCTGACAGCTGGCCTCCTGGACTGGACACTGAGCTCCACTGACAACTGACAGGTGCTGACGGCTTGACAGTTGTCAGCTGATGGATAGATGGCCCCGCAGAGGTGACTCCTGGCGGCTACCTGGTTCCAATCGCTTTTAGATCCTAACTTCTGATTCCACAAACTGGTTTAACTCAGATGGAGATCGATCCGGGTAGAAAAAACTGATCTTGGATCTGACTCATTCGAATTCCGCAGCAGGGAATCCGCTTCCCCGAGCGTCCGTCATTCTGTCTGCCCTCTCTCTTTTTCCCCACTCACTCACACACACTCACACGCACACACACTCGCACACAGGCAAAGGACGACCTCAGACACTCATACACAGGCGGGGGAGAGAGAGAATCGCTTCGATGCTGATGACCACTTGACCATTCACACAGTCTTATCGGTTGCATATGGCACTGTGGGGAATAAACGAAAAGAAAAAGGAAAAGTTATTAGGTAAGAATATATAATATTAGCTTAGGATATGTTCTATGTTAAAGTTTGGGTTTTCAATTAGCATAACCTTTAGATAAGCTTCAAAGTTTTAAGTTTTTATAGTCTACATATAGCTGGAAGTGAAAAAAGTCAGCTTATTTTTTACTATCATGAGAGACCAGCCAGGGCTTTAGTTAATGGCCAAAATAATTGCGAAAAATTGATCTTAATATTGCCCAAAAATTTTAAAATTTTAATTAATTTTTAAAGTTTTTGTAAAGAAAAATAAATAATTTTTTTCAAATTTTAACGATATTTTTACGCCCGTGTAAATTTGAAGATCAACGGCCAACTTCCCATGTCAAATGTAATATAAATGTAAAGTGCATTGTTGAATGTAGAGTAAATGTAAATTTCAATGACAAGTGCAATGTACCAAAAATGTGCATCCGAGGGTACTAGTAATTCCCAACTCGTTCTAGTCCCTCAGTCATGAGGTACCCTCTGTGGCCACCCACAAAATCAGTCACGTCATTTTTGTGTGTGTGTGTTTGTGTTAGTACAGTGCTTCCAAGGCCTTGTTGGGGCCTCCAAGTGGTCCGGTGGTACCTGGACATGGCCGCCATGGAGGATGCAGTGCACCATGGATTTTTTTCGGAATCCAAATTCTGGACTCTGGATGACGTGTGATGCTAGACGATGCCTTCTATATCATCGATGGACATCGGCAAGCCGGAAATCAAGGTAGGTGGAAAACTTTTTCTTATTTTTACTGCATAAGCCGAGGGGCATATTTGGCCCATGATCCGCAGCTTTTGCAACGGCTTGCATGCCGTCAATGCTATGTGGATATCTATTTAGAATAAGTTAAATTAAGCTTGCCCAGCTAGGATTACTGGCAGTTCCAGTCCATCGGCTATGAAGATCGGATAGTGCTCTGCTTTGGTTTCTCTGGATTATGGACTGCTGCCACTTCGGACTTATGGAGGAGTATCCAAACGGAGATACTGGCAGGCTGTGATCACTCCTAGCTCCAGTTCATCAGCAATAGAGACCAGGTACTACTCTGCTTTGGTTTTCTTGGACTTATGGTTGCATGGAGATACTTGCTTTGGTTGCATGGAGATACTTGCTTACTAGGCTAAAATCTGTCTACTTTGCATTTCAGCGCTGGAAACATCATCGGACTTATAGAGAAGCACCCACATGGAGATACTGCCCAGCTGTGATCACTCCCAGTCCATCAGCAATAGAGACCTGGAGCTCCTCCTCGGCTTTTGTTTTTCTCGTTTATGGACTGCTGCCACTTCGGACTTAAGGAGGAGCACCCACACGGGGATACTGACAGGCTAGTGACCACAACACAGTTCCAGTCCATCAGACATAGAGACCAGGTTCTGCTCTGCTTTTGTTTTCTTCTTTCTTTGGGCTAAGGGACACATGGAGATACTTACTAGGCATCAAATCTGTTTACTCTGCATTTCAGCGCTGGAATCTGGAAACTTGTCATCAGACTTATGGAGCACCTACAAGGAGATTTGGCCCTGCTGTGATCACTCCCACTTCCAGTTCTGGTACTACTCTGCTTCTGATTTACTTTTTTTTTTTGGACTGCTGTCACGGTTTAGGGACCGACCACCGACACGGAGACATGGAGGAAATTACCAAGCATAAATCTGTCTACTCCGCATTTCTGCGATTGAAGCTGAAGCCTTCATCGTTGGCCATCCACCCAATCTAGATTATCTAAGTACTTAGCTTGTAGGTATTTGATATAAGTTGGACCATTTTAGGCATAATTAAGGCCAAGAATCAGGCCAATATCAGAATTTGGTAAAATGTTTACTTTTTTTTATGAGTTTTTATAGAAATCTACATTTTTAGATTTGAATGCAGATCTGTTAGAAATTAAAATAGAAGCTTAACGAGGTATGGCAATCCACATTGGCTTAATAAGGATAATCCAGATTTTGCATTTTCGATTAGTACCATCATCATTATTTCTAGATATGTCAAAATGTTTACAATTTCAACCTTGAATGCAGATCTGTTCGGAATTAAAAAACAAGATCAACGAGGTATTACATTCAATGTTTCGACTATTATTGACTTAGTTATGAACAAAACTCTGCAATTTTGGGCACCAAATCAAGTATACGTCTATTGTACCATCATCAAAATTTTCAAAAATGCTCCAAAAACCCAGCATATCCAGCATCAAACGTCATCGAAAGTCCAACACATGGATCCATGATGCACTGCATCCTCCATGGAGGCCATGTCCAGGTACCACCGGACCACTTGGAGGCACTTGGAAGCACTGTACTAGAAGACACACACACACACACACAAAAATGACTTGGCTGAGTTTCACCGGCCAACAGCGCCCTAGTCATAACATTTCTGCTAGAACCAGTTGGGAATTACAAGTGCCGCGGAGTGCACAAAATTTCGGCTAACATTGAGTTAACTAATTTTATTGTTAATTAGTCGTTAACATTCAAAAGTTAACATTCAGTTAGCTTTTTTCGGTTGATTTTTAATTTTTTTAAATGTTCAAATGGTCAAATCTAAAATTTTACTGATTTTTTGTAAAACTTTTTTTTTTTCTCTTCATAAGAATTTGTGATAATGTTTAATATTTTCCAAGTTTCCAAGTTTTGGGCATGGGAAAAGCCTATTTTCCTGGATTATTTGTTGTCATTAATTAAGCCCTAGCTGGTAACCCATGGACGTCGGAAATATTTTGGGTTTTCTACAGATTAAGTTTCATATGGGCTATAAAAAGTGAAAATGAACAAGATTTTCTTTATGGTGCAGATTACTTAGGAATATTTTGAGTCACCAAGTTACCAATTACCATTCAAACGCCTTCCAGACCTTTAGCCATAAATGACAAAGTTCTCATTGGTTCTCATTCTCATCCAAAACCAAGCGCAAAGACAATTCCATATTTCGACCATTTTAGGCTTTGCTATGGTACTATTACGGAGTTTTAATTGGAAAAATCAGGTATCGGGTATACAAAAAGATAAAAAAAGAAAATTGCTTCTTTCTGCACTGGGATTTGAGCCGCTGTACTTCGGAGTTTCAATGCTCTACCCCCTGAGCTATTCAAGCTGACATAAGTTTTCAAAACTAAGCTAAAACTAACCGATGTACATCCTGTCATTTGGAAAGTGTAATGCTAAGGACGAGAACCGAAGTAGGCTGTTGCCGACATACTTTAACTAATCGAACTGGGTGAAGTTTATATTTAACATTTGAAAACTGTCTCATCGCCGCCGACGGTAGCGCTGGGGGCAAAGTTGCCCCCAAAATGTTAAGGCGCCGTCGGTCTGGGTTCGAGTCCCGGTGAATATCTAAGAGCATGGAAACACGAGAAAATGGCCGGTACTATAAATGATGTCAATAGACAATGTCTTTAGAAGGTAGTAGAAAATATCTGTGAAATATTAGAAACTTTATAGAAAACAATAAATTTGACTTACAATTTAAAGAGTGAATAAAGAAATTTGTAGTTTTTTTTTTTTAAGTGTTTAAAGATAAGGTTATCAAAGATGTTTATTTTGTTCAATAATTTGCCTTCAGTTTGGACCATTAATAGCTTAGCTAGGGAAAAAATTCGATACTTTTAGGGGAAAAATAAGGAAAGTCAAAGTTTTCAAAACAAAATCCACAGCTGAAAGGACGCTGGTTCTGTTTATCAACAAACTTTATTTTATTATTATAATTGATTTTAGAATTACGATTATTGTAGTTAGTTTATTTATATTTGAATTAAGAGTTACTTTAAGGTACTGAATGTTAGATAAGCCCTATAAACCTCATAAGAACATCAAACTAGAGAACATTAACTCATGGCCATAATAAATCTGCCAAAACAGGTAAACTAGAGAGAAGTTAACCTACTTTTTGGCTACTTTTCTGATATAAATACAATTTATATTCGACTAAAAGTACAGATAAATGGCAAGGCCAAACTAAACAAGATTGAAATTCGAGTGGACTTAATCTGGTTTAATCCCTGGCTCTTTGCCACTGCCATTGCAACTGTAAACTGCAAACTGGAAGCTGAGAAGGTGGCACAATAAATTCCATTTATTTATCAGTCAATTTCGCACGAATCGAGGCTCTGGCCAGAGATTAAAGCCTAGTCCTTAAACTAATTGAAAACTAATCAAAATGGTGTTAAAATGTTGCAAAAACCAATTACAGGATCACAAAAAGAAGGCAAACATTATGACAATCTGCTAATATTTGGCTTAGTAATTGGCCTTACCCCCAAAAAAACGTAATTCGATGACAAATTAATGACAGTTCTTAATTCTCCAAAAATTAATTGAGGCATGAAAAGGCAATGGAAATCAATTAAATTGTATTAAATGTCTTTTTCTTGTTATGCTGCATGCCTGTCACATGCAAATTTGCTGCCAAGTTGCATTAATAATGCAGTTTATGCAATTTAAATATGGTAACATTAAGTATACGCAATGTGTAACCATCTATCTCTCACCACTCCCCCAACAATTCCCATTGATTTGTGCACTTGGGCAGAAGTTGTGCAAATTTTGCACAAGTTTCGTAATTAATTATGATAGTCGAACCGACAACAAGGCGTATGCGTAATATGTGTATTGTTACCAGCAAATGTTAGGTTTATCTTGCTTCTATATACATATGGGTTATATGTATATATATATACAGATAAATACATTACACAATAGGCATCGCAAATCTTGTTTTGCCCCCCCCTCAATGAGTCCCATAATTTTCGGCACATAACTCTTTCTGTGAGGCAAAGGCCCGACCAAAATGCTCATTAAGTGCACCCTAATGAGCAGTCGACCTGCCATCAATTAGACCCCTCAATTACGCAACTCGATTAGCCAATTATCAGGGCTACCCCAACCAGCCAGCTAAGTAAAGCCACGGAATAAAATTCAAGGAATAACCCAAGTCGAGTGCCGCCTGCCAAGTGCAGTCAGCAAACAAATTGACTAATTAAAGAAGACAGCCGAACAAAGTTAACAGCAAAGTTGATTCACTTGTCCGACACGCACTAATTACAAACTGCAGGAAGTTCACTGCCTAACAGAAGGATGAGGACTCTCCTCTAACCCAGGAGCCTAGCACAGCCAGGTCTTCTGCCTTGCATCACAGGAACAGACTCATTAGGATCGGATTGAGAGAGCCGAGTTGAAATTGGCAAAAGGAGAAGGCAGTGCGTGCAGCGGCGGCTGAAACTGAAACATGAGGATTATGAATAGCTGGGAATCAGGCGAAGCCAAGTCAGTGGGTAGTCACAAGGAGGGAATCATTAGACCCAGGCATTGCAACAAGATGTTTGCATTTAAAGGTTAAATGTACATCAAACTAGAGAGGAATTTGTGGGTTAAATGAGTAGTAGACTTAATAGAGGTAGTTTAGGGATGAGTTGAACCTTGTAAGCATTTCAAATTGAGACTGTAACGAGATCTGAAGCGACTTAAATGGTTTCTTAAGAGGTTAAGCTAAGTATTTTCTTACTAAAATATAAAACTTAAACCTTAATTATTATAAAAAACAACAAACTACACTTTACTTTCTAACATTTCCATCTCAAAATTGTTAAAAATTCAAGAAACCAGCTAAAGTTTTGTATATTCCTTAGAAAACCAGCTTAGTTTTTCCCGCAACTTCAAGTTACCTTACCCAAGACCCCCTCCATAACATTCCAATTCCATTTAACATAAAACTTCTTGCAATTTTCTATAATTTTCCTTTGAAAACTCTCACTAAACTGTCTAAAATTGGCTTTTCCAAATGGCCAGAACAGCAATTACTAGAAGGACTTTTCATATTCAATTTCTTCAACAAGTCAAGTTGAGTTCGTCTTGTCCAAGCCTGATTCCTCTGTAAATATTCTATATTTGCTGGGAAAATGTTGCCACAACTGTTGCACAGTGGAAATAGAGGTGGCAGAGTAGTAACTCTACAGAGAGCCCCCTTTCCCCTTCCTTTTCTGACACTAAGCCTCTGTCCTGTTTTTGGTCCTGTTGCTGTTGTTACTCTTCCAGCAGGAGGACTGCTAGCTGAGCTCAGTAATCTTTAATTTCATTAAAATTCAAGCAACGACAGCTTCTTTGTCCTGGTGGCAAGCTCCTTGTTGTTCTTGCTGTTGTTGGACTATGGATGTTGCCGATGTTGCTGGTGCTGCTGCTGCTGCCGTAAGTGCTTATTAGAGGGCGAAAGAAACACTTCAGTGTAAGCGAGTAGCGCTCTCAGGCATTTATGAATTTTCTGGCTTTAATGCGTGGCGCAGGAGGAGGAGTAGGAGCAGGACCAAGAGGAGCAAGAGCAGCAGGAGCAGTAGAAGTAGCTGGCCCAGTGGCCCAGTTGAAGGAACAGCAAGAGAAGGGTCAGCAGATGGATCTCGGGGGCTTGGGTTGGCATGGTAACTGGCATAAACTTTGCCAACAATGCCGCACTTTCTCCTCCTCATCCTCCTCCTCCTCTTCCTCACTTTACACCCTTCATATTGGCTGGCTTATCCTGTCCCAATGCTGATGCTGATGCTGCCCCAGCCATGTCCTATACCCATAATGCATATAATTAACTGCAACTTGCCGCTCCGTGTTTGCCACAGGGATAATGGACGCCAATTCAGAGCTGATCCGAAGTTAAGGCGCATCTCCTTTTGGAAAGCTAATGAACCGAGGAAGATGATGGCACGATGATGCATCAAAAGAATAGACGATGATGCAAGTCTTGGGGCAATCAATAATGAGCCTTCGATAAAGTTGC